ATGTATGGCTAATATGAGTGGAAAACCTGTTAATGAATAACTTGATTAAGAAATGTTTGATTTGTTTGAAAACAGACGTGAAATCAGTTGACGACAAGAAGTCGAGTGAAGACATTGTGGTTGTCATAGAAGGCGGTAAAGCGGGGGAAGAGGTGATCGCCACCAAAGAGGGTCATCTCATAGCTAAAGGCGCCGTCGGATTCAAATTGGGATCAATTACTTCGATCAAAAAAAGCGGATAAATATTATATTTGAAATGATAAATAGCATATATGTATTAAAATAAATCGTTTTGTAATTAAAATATTTAATTTATAATTGTGATGTACAGTATATTTATTGCATAAAACATAAATAAACTGAATATAAAATCATAACATATAAGCTTCAGCATCAGGCAATTGATGGTAACTCAAAGTTTGCAAAAAAAACCCTTAATGATGTTATAAGCATGTAAATTTTATTTTTAAAATTAAAAGTTACAGGTAATTGATTAAGTATTTATTTTAAAAATCTGGCAATAAATGGATCCTTCCTTTCAGGCACCGGACGGACCCATCAATGCATTCATTGTTTTCAAAACTTCCGCTAATGTATTATAAATAGACCTTGTTTGAAATTATATATTGTTTGATACTTACTTACCTTGTTTTTTACACAATTATGATATTTATTAATATTTGAATACTAAATGATAACTAATCTCATGAAAAATTATGTTTTAATTAGATTTTCTATTTATGATATCCATATGAAAAGTTTTATTTATATTATATTTATTTATATTTATATTATATTTATTTATATTTATATTATATTTTAGTTATATTAAAAATATCTCAGTTGATAAATGGCATGTTTAGCAATAAATACTGTGGCAAATATTAAATTAAATTTATATTTTCATAAACTGTCTCTCAATGTGTTAGTTGTATTCTTAAATGACCCTGTCAATTAACACACATTTACAGTACGATGTCATCATTATTTGTCGACAAATTATACTTATATGGATTCTACAATGTAGAAAAATGTTTTTACCATTACTTGATTAATTAATATTTGTTAAATAAAATGTGTTTTAAACTTGAATTGTATTTTCAATATCGTTGCTTATAAATGAATATGGTAACATAATAATAATAAAATAACTCTTTTAAAATATAAATTAATATACATATACTAGTAAAGTTATTTAATAATATAAAATTAAATATGTTTGACACAACATAAAATGATTAAAAGAAATCATACAAATGTATACTTGGTTGTATATGACAAGCATATTGTAAAACTGTTGTATTATAAATTGCTAAACACTTAAACTGTGTTAAACCTTTCAGTAATCGTGGTGATTATCAACTTTATAAATCTCTTATCTTTAAGTTTGACGCTCAATAAAAGTGTTGAGTAATCAACATAGTAATTGCATTGAATGCCTGTAAATATCACTATTGGTAATGATCCCTAATCAAGATATTTAACGCCATTTACGTCTAAAAAATGTTTGGTGTCTCAACCGTATTCACAAATTGGGTCCAAAAATATCTACATTTCCGGTGATTATATGTACATCCAGTCAATCAGTTTTCAAAGCGATGGATAGAGTATTATTTTGGCTCAAAAAGGAGTACAAACCCCGCTCTGTATACGTGAGGGGTAGTGATCCCGTACTGAATGGCGCACACGTGAAGCAGTCATACCCGGCTAATATCGTGCGCAACCAGAAGTACAATGTGTTGACATTCTTGCCGATCGTATTGTTCAATCAGTTCAAGTTCTTCCTCAACCTCTTCTTCCTGGTGACCGCCTGTTCACAGTTCATACCACAGCTCAAAGTGGGACAGATCTACACGTATTGGGCGCCGTTGGGCTTCGTGTTGGCCATCACTTTGCTCCGGGAGGCTGTCGACGACTTCATGCGCTTCCGGCGCGACAAAGGCATCAATAACCTCAAGTACAAGAAGTTGACGCGTGAGGGGCAGGTGGAGGTGCGCAGCTCCGGCATCAAAGTGGGCGACCTTATTGTTGTGACCAAAGACCAGAGAGTGCCGGCGGATATGGTGTTCCTGCGCACGAGTGAGGCTAACGGCGCCTGTTTTGTGCGAACCGATCAGTTGGACGGCGAGACCGATTGGAAGCTACGGCTGGCCGTTGGGGTCACTCAGGAGCTCGAGTCAGACAACCAGTTGTTTAGTTTGGATGCCTTCGTGGACGCAGAGGAGCCCAGACGTGATATACACACCTTCACGGGGAAAGTCACCTTAGATTCTGGTATAACATATGGTAGCAATAGATTGACTTTTATGAATTTCTTGTCATTTATAGGCAGAAAAGAGGTCTCATTGAACATAGAGAACACATTGTGGGCCAATACAGTGATAGCATCGGGCGTTGCCATCGGAATAGTGATATATACGGGACCCGAGACTCGATCGATGATGAATAACAACGAACCCCGCAGTAAAGTAGGACTTCTTGACTATGAGATCAACACTCTGACCAAAATCTTGTGCGTAGCCTTAGCCTTGTTAGCCTTAGCTATGATTTGTTTAAAAGGTATTTTTGCAGTCACTTAACACAATGACAATAATTTATTACCATTAATCATAAAAACAATTAGGTTTTGTTGGATCTTGGTATATATACTGGTTTCGATTTGTACTGATATTCTCATACATAATACCCATAAGTATGAGGGTTAACCTGGAAATTGGACGAGTGGTCTACTCTTTTATGATTCAGAGAGATATGGAAATCCCGGGAATTCTGGTGCGAAACTCGACGATTCCCGAAGATTTGGGTCGAATTGCATACCTATTGACCGATAAGACGGGAACTCTGACTAAGAATGAGATGGTATTCAAGAAAATACATCTGGGAAAGATTTCGTACACCACTGAGTATTTCGATGAGTTGACGGCACTTTTGCAGGCCTACTACACACCGATGCTCCCGGAGCCCACTAACCCACGAAGTCATAAGCGCCAGATGTCTAATATAAGTACCGCCAGCTTCACTATAGAGCGCCGACATTTCCAGCGACAAGTGTCTGGACATATGAGAGTGGACTCGTACGAAGTGGACAGGGATAGCGTCCATCGGGTCCAACAGGCTGTGCTGACCATTGCGTTGTGTCATAACGTGACGCCCACTTACGAGGACGGGTCCAATCCCTACTCAGACTCCGGTGACTCTAAAGTTGCCATCGGTTTGTAACAAATAATTTATCTACAATTAGTTCCAGTCATTAATTAAAGTATGAACCCATAGAGTGTGACCCATTCGACATCCCAATGACCTCCAAAGGGATTACATACCAGGCCTCGAGTCCTGACGAGGTGGCACTGGTCCAGTGGACCGAGAGTTTAGGCGTGGCTCTGGTCTACCGGGACTTATCCACAATGAGAATCCGTGACCCGAATGGAAATATCATGACATTTGAAATTTTGCAGATATTTCCGTTCAGTTCGGAGACCAAACGCATGGGTATTATAGTGA